CTGTTTTGTTCGCCCACTTCTATCTACTCTAGTTCATCCCCACCCCAGTCAGGCTTGTCCTACTTATTACCTGCTTTTATTTACATATCTTTTCATGCATGTCAAATGAAAGATTTCTGCATTTTGCTACCATTAGTGTAACCTTCCGATCTCAGAAAGTGCATATCCGCTCTTTACTCCGAACTGTTCTCTTCTTGGCATTGGTTTCACTAAATTTTCAGAACCACCTCAAAGCAAGGGTGGACATTGACTTGTTAAACATTCATTTTGTGTCTGTGAATTATTTTTTGATGCGTGAATAACTGCTATTAATTTTAAAAGGCACTTGATAGGTGGTTTTTGAGGAAGGTATTGATTAGTTGATGGTGTTGTCCCTCCTGCAGTGATTATAAACATTTAAAGTTCTTAAATGATTATTTTGTTATACATTCAGGTAATAATTGTCATATAATATTTTTAAATATTTAAATAATTGAAAATTTTTTTGGTAAATAGTAACATTGTGTTCAATAATATTAAAAAGGTTTTCATTAATTTACATGATTATTTTTGTCTGGAGGAGGGGACGCCAAATTATATTTCATTCTATGTACTGAAATTCCAAGGCCCTGTTTACAAAGTATGTGTCAGATAGGAAAATAATAAATTCTTCAAAGATTGGAAAAAAAAAACAAAAAACAATAGGTCCTTAACTAGTTGAGTGATAAAATGTATCAAACATTACGTGCACTAGCAAAACTAAACTGATGAAACTTTTCAAGGTCAAGTCCAGCAACAAAAGTTCTTTACACTACAATATTGTTGATAACTTTGTTGTTTATTGAAACCAGTTGTTTAAATGAGAAGGACTTACCTGTAACTTTTTTTTGCTGTCATACAGTATCGTGAAGGCCATGCATTCAGTGATCACAAATTGGGTTTTTCAGCAATCTTATCATTTTTCAATCTAATGTTTTAAGGAGAACTGCTGTCTATGTTTGAAAAGCCTATTTATTTGTCCAATGGAAGAGCACTTTTATCATGTTTTATAACTAAATTTACCCCATTCATCAGCTGAGAAGTGCAACAGCAATGGTTTTGGAATAATTTGATTTGATTTATTTAGAAACTTACAGTAGAAACTGCAAGTGACATTAGAAACTGCATTCAGGAAGGTGCTTGGTTTTCACAAGTCTCCAAAAGCAGTTATCATTGGAAAAGATTTCTTCAAATCATAGAAGCATCTGAATCTAATGATTTCTTTGAGTTAATGTTTCTCTACCAGATATGCATGATTTAACTGATGGTTCACCGGATATAATGTAAGATATATTATAATCACTAGAGTCTGGAAGTTCAGGCTTTTATTTTACCTAAATAGGCAGGCAAAAAGGCATTTATTTTTACTAAAATAGGCATACAAAAAAGCCATTTATTCTGGCTAAAGTATAGAGATGAAAACAGAGGAAATATTGAAAAAACACCATATTGAAATGATTATTGAAAAAAAAAAAAGAAATAGTAATAAAAATCATTCACATTTTTATTTTAGCACCAAAATTTGCATTAGCACTTATGTGAAACGAAACTACATTTTCTTTGTATTTTTGATTGCACTTGACTATCTGATATAAAAATATAAATTTATGTTACTTGCGACGCTGTCTTCACGAAATGCTATTGTGGACTCCCTTTGGAACCTTGAAATAGTATCATTGAAAATGGAACAGTAGATTTCATTCTCCACATTGTGTGTAATCGCCAGAAGAGAAGCGAGAACAAGCAGAAATTGAGAAGGATAGGTCCTACATCATGTACAGACAGCTCTGTCCTCAAAAGGAATACACATACATATATAATGAGCTTTCTCATGGGTGAACAAGTCTGTCAGCATCAATCAAATGTTTTCTGGTATCATCTTTCTTTCCCACGTAGATTTTTAACAGGACCTGACACTAGGGCCTTTGCATCAACAGAAAGACAATACACAACCGTGGCTTTATGTTGTCCAGCTTGATAGGAATTGGTGCCAGGGGGGCCGAAGGGGAAAATAATGAAGAAAAAAGAACATGAATAAGGCAGAAAAATGCAAATGATGCAAACTGCTAAAAATAGGCATCAGAAGCTAAAATACACAAAATGAAAATCTACTAAAACAATTTCAGAAGTACAATGAAGTGATTCTTATTGTTAAGTCATAAACTCGTAACAATAATAAAAAGGCATTTTCCCAAACTTCCAAGCTCTGGTAATTACATTGTGTAGTATGGTATATTGCCATACTTATTGTTTATTGCTTATACTTTTTGCTTACTACTTTTCATTGCATTGTTATCTTAAAAGTTTTATTATTAAGCCCATAATTTGTTCATCTTTTTCTTACAATTTCACATATCTTTATCATCTATGTAACATACTGACATCTTTCAGCATTTGTTCTCTCTTCTTCAAATGCAGTAGCGGATCCCACTAGATACAGTGCTGCTATTCTATGACAGTATGATACTACAGTAACTTCATTCTACATTATTTTCTGTAGTAGCTTCTGTCCTACTGTATCCTCTACTTGGAGAATTTCATAATGTTCACTTGTCAGTCATGAAAAAAAAATCCTTATTATCGATTAGCGATTGAGAGCGTATTCCAACAATATGTCTCCATCTTAGTCATTAAATAATTTCATTACCCTTGTTTCATTGTATCAGATACAGCGCAGCAGGGGCAGCACATCGTCACTATACTTTTTAGCCATGAACACAGATTTTACATTAAAAAGGAAATAGTATTTTCTGTTTGCTCCAAGACAACTTTTAAGCTAGAGGTTTTTACATGTCATCGGTTCCAGACTTGAATGCATGAGGGCCTTGGGGTGAGCAATTGTGGAGGTACCATTTGAAACAAATAAGTGCAGTAAAACCTGCCTTGAGCATTCTTTGTTTGTTATGGAGAAATGGTACTACAAGTGGCTAATAATCTATACAAATAAAAGTGCAGTGTCTGTCTATGATTTCTAAATAATCGCCTTTTCCTAATCTCAAATGGTTATTTACATGATAAAAACCCACCTACTTATTTTTACATTTTTTGTCTCTCAATTGTTTGTCTAAACTTATCTCAGAAATAACTTAACCAATTCTGATGAGAGATGCACTGAAAGGAAGAGTATTTAACAAGGCAGCACCAAAGTAATTTGTGCCCTTGCCAAAATTTTGTTTGCTGCCCCGTGCTCTATTTTTTGAAATTTTGTTGCATACATTTTATTTGGCATAGGCTGCTCTATTTCTTTCTTTCTTTTATATTTATTTATTTTTGTTTTATTTTTTTAATAAGGTAACTAACCTTGGTCAAGCATGATTTTCCAATCTGAAATATTGTTAACAAATATCGTGGGCAAAATAAAGATTGCTAATCAGGCAAACGGCCTGTTCACAGTTGCCACATGAGTAATAAAAAAAACTACTATTAAATTATGAAATCTATGAAAATAGTACTACTTGTATTAGTGAATCTTTTTTACCCATAATGTAACACTAAAAGAATTTTCATATTTGTGAATAATATAGCAAATTTGTTTGTTAAAAATAAAAAATAATGCAGATAATAAAAAAAACAACAAATTTTTGCTGCCCTTGCGCAGTGCACTTGCACTAGGGTTGGCGTAGCCCAGTTTGCAGTTGACAGAAAGTGGGAAGTGGGCAACACAATTGGTTTTTGCTGTTTACAATGAAGTTAAATTTGCATTACTATATAGCACATTTTTAGTTGTACTTAAAGTACAAAATTCCCTAAGCACTTTTGCAAGTGCACACAAACAACTGGTGTTAAACTAGAGGTTTTGCATTAAAATCAATTATTGTCATCTCAAATATAAATTAATTGTCCCACAAGATAAGCAACTGTAGATTTCATTGTTCAACATAATTGCATATTGCCATTGGACTATATGTCATTTTAAATAAATGTATATTTAGATGTCTTTGACAAAAATAGAAAGACAATCAAATTTCGTGGGGAAAAAAATACTAATAATGGAGAGTTCACTGGATTATTATATTAGTAGTACTGTTATATCAGTAAATACTATATAAATGTTATAATAGTACTGTGCAATATAATAAGTTAATTCATTCTTTCATACAAAATACTCTTCTCCATTTCAAGTATATGCCCAAGACCTGATCTCACTCTTATGAATTTCATTTTTTCAATGACCTGTCTTCTATTTTGGGGTCTACATACATATGTCTGCTTTGGAATTCATGCTTTTTTTTTGTTTGTTTGTTCTATCTAGCTATTATCTCTAAACAGTTCCCTGAAATTTCATTTTGGAAGACTATATTGGCTGTTTATCTTTCTTTCAAAAGTTCAATAACTTCCAAACGATGATTCCTATTACTTATTAAAAGAAGTATTGTATATGAAGTTTTTCTTCACATTCTGGTACTCTCGGATTTTTTCATCTAAATCAACTGTGAAGCAAGTTCTATTATATCATGAATATTTAAAATGACCAACTTGTTCCTGTACTGTATTTTATGAGATTATTTGTATGCATGTAGGATGTTTTCTCATAAATGGCATTGTTATTTGAAATGTTTAAATTTTATTCTTTGCAAGTTCAATTTAATTGGTAAACTGCCCTCTAAAAATCATCTTCACTTCCATGTATTATAATCTGATCAAATGCACATTCTTTTTAAACAATATAATTAAAACTGTGCGGAATATTTTAATAACAATGGATGAACAAATCAAATGTGTTGTTTAATACGAAACAAGTTAATTATAAATTATGGGATAACTTGCAGCAGCCCCATTGCCCCAATTTATATCTGGTTTTCCATTCCGTAAATACACAAGACAGATCCGTTTCAGAGTAACAATGAATTAAGATATCTCTATTTTTTCAATCTCGAAGTTTCAACCAAATTTGAATTTTCCAAAAAGGAGAGTGACAGTCAAACAATTAATCGCTGCAGCAACTGAAGCTGCATCACTTTACAATTTAATTAAAGAATATTTTACTACTGAATTCATTGATTTCAAAAAACAGGAATACAAGGAAATAAAGGTTTAAAAAAAAATGCATCATATGAAAAATCTTTCGTTCTATTTCTGTAGATAAACCTAGAAATGGCAAGATTCTCAGTCCCTTGCAATTCAAACATAATGTACATTTCATCTCTAGAAATAGAGGAAATTAACACATCACAAATAGTTCACAAATTGTCTAGCTGTGTTAAAAAAATTAAGTCCAATATTGACTTCACATACTATTTTATGAAGTTGACAATCACACTGGTCTGATCCACTCAAGCTTGTTTAAGTACACTTAATCCAGAAATAAGAAAGAATTGTTTGTTTACACAGTAAATCTAAGATACTGAAAAACACCATATTCACATAGTTGACTTTAGGGTCAACAGACTCTCTCTTTCTTGAAGTAATTCTCTGCATCTCTTCTGGTTGTTGGCTTTTCTTTGTTCGAGAGCCATTACTAAAGGACCAGATACAACTTCTGTAATATGACACAGAGCCTGGGTCAAAACTGAAAAAAGGAAAGTTCATTAATTACAAGTTGTAATAGAATTCAAATACTTAACACAAAAGGGTATCATAACATACCTGCTTTATTGTTTAATTGTGCTAAGATACTAAGAAATGTCAATTTTGTAGTGGCATCGTAACTGTCTTTCTCCTCTTGAAATAAAATTTCTGGGAGTTCTACCATAGACTGCAAATTAAAAATTTAATTAGCAACACATCAAAAGATAAAAGAGATTGTTTTTTTTGAAGATATTTAATGGAACTGTGAAATATGAATTTATCATTGTATAATAATGTAATCAAATGTATAATAATTAACAAAAATATTTGACCATTTGCCTACAATAATTTTACTATCACTTTAATAAATAGATATACACCTACAAATAATGTGATTTCTTTAAATGTATTGAATTAAATTAATTCAATACCTTTAAAGAAATCACAAATATTTGCTAAAAATATTTATTATTTTTTAAGTCAGCTCTTGCAAATCCTTAAGAATGATCTGACGTGTCCATTGACAGAACAGAACTATTCTTACAATGTAACTTACTTGCAAACATGGTTTTGACAAACAGCTAGTAGGTTGAATGTGAAGAGGAACTTCTAGTCTTATATACTGAGGGGATTCTCCTTCTGGACTTTGGTTGGTTGACTGAAAACATGTGATCTGTACTTGTTGTTCCTGAAAAGGATAATAAAATGTTACTGAGGGAAAGAAAATAACTGTTATATTAAGAATATACACCTAAAACATTTCAAAGCAGGAAACATGTTATAAGCGCATGTTTTCTTGGGCCCCCGGTTACCTACCCTCATTCCTTTTCTAACATTAGTCAAATTCTGTGTAAAGGCTACCAGCAAGTATTAAAATGAGATACCCAGAAATGTTCCTTTCTATGTAATAGAAACCATTTTGCTTCAAAAAATAAACTACAGATTTGATGTACGAGTCCAGTCGGCGAAATAACAAATCGCCCACTCCTCCCACATCTGCCAAAAGGAGGGCTCAAAAAAAATAACATGTACGGATAATACAAGGCTATTTCGTGGTCATTCCAAAACAATGGCAAAATAGCGTAAATATATATGCAATGTAATTCAATAATTTGGAACTGTGAAATGCATACACTCACAAATAAGCTCATAAATAGTATTATAAAAATTTCAAAAACACTAACTGTAAAATGGGTTAATTTTTACTAAAGGTGAAATTATCTTCTCCTTAATTGCATTGCATTTGTACTGGTATGTTGAGAGGAATACTCGAAATTCCTGATTCAATATTACTAAGCAAATTTTGATTAAACTGACTCAATATATGGCAGCTCCTGTATTACCTTTATTGTATATTTTACAAATATTCCTTTATGCTTAATTTTATAATCTCTGAAAACTGCGCATTTTATGGAAACTATTATCCCTCACCATTTCAAAATGAGACTTAATTTGACTTTAAATGAGATTTGACAACTACAAAATTCCCATCTACAGATACAATATGTACATATACACTGATTTTATGTGTACATGGTGTTGATAGACTTTACGTGTATTAAATAGTTTCCCAAGAACGATAATTAATACCATCAAAAGTCATTGAATACCTTAGAAACTTTATCTTCTGAAAACACTGAAATAATGATGCCCACAAATCCTTCATCCATCATCTGGTAAATTGCCTGAGTTCGCACATCTAGAAGAAATGGAAATATGCTTTAAATGTTGGTGCTTCTACAAAAATATCGCATTTCAAAAAGTTATGAATAAGGCATTAAATAACGTACCAACATGTGATGGCCACACTGTAATATGAGGATGAGAGTGGTACCACCCCAGAACTCTCATGGTTCTTCCCAATTCATGAGTTAATTTGTCGGCTTGAATTGCGGCATTGGTAAGTTGCTCCGGAGATATTTCCACTCTGTCCTTCCTTTTATCTGAACGGCGCAGCATTACAACAGCACTGATATGGGCAACTTTCTTGGAGTCGATCTAAAATAATTTGTATTCATGATGTGAACAAAGGTAATGAAATTGACTGAAACACTTGCTAAAGGAAGATGTACGCACCTCTCCAATAAGTAGACCCATAACCTCTTCCTTTTCTGTAGATAAAGCATGTTGTAGGCAAACCAAATACACGTCAGCTGCCATGTACACGCATGATAAAGCCATTACTGTCATTCAAAAACGTCTAAATACGGTTATTTAAGTACAGTAAATCTTCACGAAATGGTTAATTCCCTTTGTTGACCATTACTATTTATTCATAACCACAAATTAAAAGTTTCAAATGATTCCCACAGCTGGCACGAGCTGGCAAGACTGCACGTCAAAACACTGACCACTCCGAGCCTGTAGTGCCATCTGTGAGACAAATTGTCATTTTCACATTCGTTGCACGGACAAGTATAGATGTCGCACTTTTGGCGCGAACATTTCGTTCTGAAAGAAAAAGAAGCGGTGTATATAAACATTTAAGAATAAACTAGTGATGCTAAAACAGAGCAAAGGTTTTTTTTTCATTACTTGGTACGGTTACCTAATAATAAAACTAACATACTACCAAAATTTCACAGCACAAAACAGCTCACTAAACAAAATACTCATACAATTCATGTACATTATTTTACAACACTTGCCAGATGACATTAAATGATTGAAATCGATACAAAAGTTTTATGCCCCAAGTAAAATCTTTTCTGCTTCATAACTGTTTCTATACAGAGACTCTACTGAGCATCTAAAGGAATATAATATTAATTTTAACAATGACATTTAATGTATTATTTACCATTTGAATTGTATAATTCTAAAGAACCTGTAACAAGTATTGTACTTCAGCTTCTGGGTCAATGACCCCATCTTGATCAGGTTTTTGTCCAGTTTCCCTGCTCCTTGAGCAAATGCTGAGCTGGCCCCTTGTTTTGCTTCTGGACATGAATTTAACTTCAAATTAACTTCTCCCCATAGCACGTCTCGCAGTTTTTAATAGTTTTTGTTGTAAATAAATAAATAAATAAATAAATAAATAAATAAATAAATAAATAAATAAATAAATAAATAAAAAAAAAAAGATCTCTCGGAAAATACTTTTCAACAAACTGCTCAAACCACAGTAACTTGCAATAGTCAATATCCTAACATCTTCAAAGATCTAATTTGTACATAAAATGGACATTATTACTGCATATGCAACTAATAAAAGGATTATGATGGCTAATTCTGTATTTTTAACTTAACACTTTATAGGGTTCAATTAGTATATTGGATTTATTTTTGCTTAAGGGTATTTCAAGGAAAGTGAGTAACAATGTCCATGTGTAAAAATGACTAAATTTTACCTTTTGACTATTTAAATAGTGTGGTACTTAATTGTACTACAATTGATGTATATAAGAAACCATGAAACTCAAAATCATGGTACAATATGGAACTACATGTTTTTCTTTCCATTTACATTCTAACATATCTTTGCATTGTTCATTAATCGTTGGGTTTTATTGAAAAAAGTATTTTTCTAAACTAGTTTTTATGTAAAGTATACATTTTTAGTATACATTTTCCACAGATATAAATAGTGTTTGAAATCTATCACAAATCTTTGGCAACAGAAAATTTTGGACAAAATTGTACCGAGTGTCGTCCTATGAAAATATCTTTTTCGTTTGAGGTATTACAACTAGTATCTTCTATTTCTATTATTGATCGAGAACACACATTTACAAAATCGAGACAATACCGATTTATTTTCAGGATATTATAAAATGGAAAATAAGAATAATCATATTTTACAAAATATAGAAAAAATATTTATCATAAGAAATATTGTAATTATAACTATACGACACGTAATATTTGGAGATTGTGTAATCTAGTTGTGCTTGCGTAGCAATATGATTAAAAAATACTTCAAATTTTATATTATGAGCTTACTATTTCTGAAAGAAATACTTGTATTTTTGTAAACCATGTACATACCTGAAAGTGTTTGAAAAATACATTTTTTCCATGAATAATAATATTAAAAACTTAATGAAGCACAAAACATTCCTTACAAGTCGTTGTCAACTATTTCACAAACGCACATGGTACAATACCATAATACTACATAGAAAGAGGAAGTGAAAAATATTGGTTTATGGCAAAATTGCTGTCTATCTGTCGGTGTACAATGCCTGCAGCTAAACCATCAACAAGATTTTCACAAAGATTGATTTTTTCTCAATTTATCTGGGTAATGTTGCGACTTCTTTTATTTGAAAGGGATATTTAATTTTTGGGGGTACTTGAAGCCTCAAGGATAATTTCATATTTTTCTAAAAAATGGCTCCACATTATTGGGTTATTTTTTTAACAAATAGAGCACAGCATGCTTATTAAAATGGATAAGGACATTGTTTAATTTTCTAAAGTTTCGAAAAAAACAACTTAATTTTAACATTTGAAAATTACAAAATTGAAGACATATTTTTGTTTTGAACAAAATCTGTTCTAATAAATCAGCACCTTAAAAAAGGTTTTTACAATTTTTTTAACGAGTAACGTTTGCGAAATTTATGAAATTTGTAAAAATATAATTTTCTCAAAACCGCTCCAAATTTTTTCTTCAATTTTGTTTCCACAGTTAGAAAAAGATACACTTAAAAGAATGGCACATATCACATTTTCGTCAAACTCTCCGTACTTTCAAAAATTGCATAAACTTTACATTTGAAAACTAAAAAATTGAAGATAGGAATTTTTGCCATAAACAAAATCTGTTCTAAAAATTCAGCTTATTAAAAAGAGCCATGTAGACTTTTTTTGAAATCAACTGGTAGTTTTTGCGAAATTTCTGTTTGAAATTGATGAAATTTGTAGATGTTCCACAAACTATGGACCACGAAAAAAATTCTCGGGGAACAGGAATGAGCCAGAAGGTTTATAATTAATTAATGTTATTTTAATAATTTTTTGTGAAAATCACAATATGAATTCGATTTTTATTCTATTCCACAGCTTGTTTTCTCAATGGAGTGATGTTTTTCTTTCAACCAATCCACAAACCGTAATTGAAATTAACCCAGTTCGATTTTCTATTTCAAAAATACGATTTAAATGAAATATTTAAAAAAATCAAAACAATAATCGTTTACTCTTCTCTTACTAATTAGCGTTGATTTAGCTTAACGGCGTTGCCACACAATGCTGCGATATGGCACTTGGAGAAGTTATTCCTAGAATTTCACTTACAAAATGGCATTTCCCAATATTCATTAAACTCTGAATTTTCGAAAATTGCAAAAGGTTAATATTTTTCGGAATCTTCTTTCAGCTACAATATTGACGATACAGGCAAACAAAATCTATAATATTGAATATAGGCGTGTTCGTGAGTAATTAATGCCAGCTGTAATCACACGTATTTTCAGCGAAATGTCGACGGAGTTGAATTCATCGTTGCTGTGGAATATTCTGACGCAAGAGGCGCCCCACGAGGGCGAGGGCAAAGACGACGAGGAGGAGGACGATGGCCAGGAGGAGGTGTCGGAGATATCCTACTGGAGGGACACCCTGCCCGAGGACGTCCGCTCCCTCGTGCGCATGTTCCGAACTCCGCAGACCACGTCGATGTTCGGGAGGGTGGACCTCGACCTCCAGTTGTGAGTAGCATAAGTGTGAATGCAAGTCCAAGGCAGGCTGTCTTATTACAATAATAGAAAACAATGTCTACAAAATATCGTTAAAAATATTTTCTAAACATTGCAAATAGTTTATCTGTGCGAACTATGTTATTAGAAATACTGTTACTAAGGTTAACAGTTACTATTGGGAAATTAGATCGGCTGAGTTCAGCTCAGAGTCAACATTGCCGCTTCTCTGCAGCGCCTTTGGTCGGGAGGCTCTAGGGTTCGAGTCCTGACGGATGCGAATTTTCGAAACAAGAGATATAGCTAAGTTGAATTTAGACACTGTCTGGAGAAGAATTTCAACGTCCGGCTGCACTGATCGATAGTATTCCATGGTTTCTCCGATCAACAGTAGGCGAATGCCGGACAGTACCCTAACAAATGACCCATGGTCCTCACACAATCTTTCTTCTTCTTGCTTGTCCTATTCTTACTCCCTACTTCGACACACACATACACTTGACTACTCCACATGTCGAGAGCTAACAGCTGATCTTACTCCGACTGGGTTCGTGGTCCGCTTGAGAGAGATATTGGATGGGGAAATTCCCCGCAAGCCGTTGTCGCTGTCGACATATAACACACACACTCACACTTACTTTCTACCTTTTCTTCATGGACACAGATGGCTACGTCGTTTTTATGAAGAATTAGTTCAAAATTCATTATGTCGAAGCCTTTGCACAACTGTTATATGCATAAGGCGACCAGACGTCCGTATTATTCGGGACAGCCCCTTGTTTTGAGCCCCAGACCGCATTTTTTTACATGAAAACAGAACGCCAAAATGTCCCTTTTTTGTAACAATGACGTATCAGCAAAAAATGCCGTCAATATTAAATTTACCATAACGTAATCCGTTTACTTCGCCTTAGTATCTAATTAATTAAGTGCGACAAGATCTTGCCTTGTTTGGCAAGTAACTAGCAGGGTTGCCAGATCCGTTCTGGGGAAGTCCGCCTTCTGAGGGATACAAATCAGCCGAATTTCGCCACATGACTGAGTGGTAAAAAAGGTGAGCGATGAAAAAAACAGACTCTGACGCCGGGACTGCTAATTTCAAAATTGCTGCATATTTACAAGATGTTATAACTAAATACTCTTGTGCTTAAAGCCATCAATCATAAATCATCAATTTTTCTACAAATTTTTAGAAAAAGTTCGGAGCTATTGCATGCCTGTTTCATTAAAAATAAAAAAGTGGGCTCTGACATCTTTTCATAGTAGCTGCACATTTACAAATGTTCAAAACCAAATGTGTTTCAGAAGCCATCAATATTTGAACAGTTTTTAGGGAAAGGTGGGTACTATTGAAGATTTAAGCAAAAAAGCATTGCATCGCCCAAAATCCCCCAAAGAAACAATGGGTTCCGACCATTTGGCGGAATTCCGCAAACTGCATTTTCTTCCCGCATGTTGACTCTTTTTTCCGCCCAATATGGCATCCCTTGTAACAAGAGTGTTCCGAGTCAGTTGTGATTTCTAGGAAGGATAATGCATCTATTAGAACTTTTATATGCTTTAACGCTATCGATATCTTTCTTGAGAAATTCAATAATCTTATTATTTTGTTTCTGATAGTGCGACTCTCTTAATTGAGAAAAACCGACTTACAACGTAATGAATGGAAGTTCAAATGAAACAAATGCGTATTTTTTAAAATTTGTAATATTATTTTGTAAATGCTTCTTTGTTTGGCGTAAATTCAATGCATCTTTATCACGAAAGTTATACATATTTATTATATACTTCCAAACCTAAATTCTTGAGACTGATTTCTTGAGATGTTCCGTTTTTATGTTTTCAAAATATGGCGACCTCTTATTTTCATCTACAGATACTAAATTAATATTTTAACGTGATTATGAGCTGTCCTGGCTCTAGGAGGACACCGGTGTTTTCACGAAGCGATTACGCATTGCAGTAGTTTCGAATTTTTTTGTGATCATCCGATATATGTTGAAAAGCGAAACTGTTAAAAGAGTTCCGAAAAGTTGAATAAGTCAAGAAATATCATTCAGTGACTCCTTAACTAGACAAAGATGGAGGAAAAACACTACGCTGGGATCCGACGTTGACCAAGGCTTTGAAGCCCCTCCCCCTCCCCCTCCCCTCTCC